CTAACAAAGATGCCGCGAACATCAATGGATAGCATAAATCGTGTGCGTCACCCTTCCGCAAATATGTTGTATACAAATTAGTGCTACAAATTCACATCTGTCGCACACATGTCCATACAAATGTGTCGCAACATACAAGTGCGTCGCACACCAATATGTCGCATACGTATTTTCTGGCATTCGATAATGAGGACTATACGATTTTCACCGTCGGGTTACCTCGGTCGGAGGGCACTGTACTGACCGCGGAACTTAAGGGACATTCCTTAACAAGGTTCCTTAAGAGGTTCCCAAACTCGGCGAGGAATTTTGATTGGATCTTGTTAGATAGCATTCGTGGCGGTAAAAACGCTCGAGGAATTGGACCGGCCTCCAAGCTCAAGCCCTTGGTGAGCGATTGGGTACATAGTCAAACACATGTGTGTGACATGTATGTATGCGACCTGTCCTTGTGTGCGACATGGCAGCTAATTTGTGTGCGACATGTGTGCGACCGGGTGACGCACAAAGTGTGTGCGACGCCTTTTTGTATGCAGTGAGAGTTACCTTGGCCTCGCTCAAACAATATTTAACGCCATAAGACGTGGATAAACTATGGTGAGGCTCCAACACTTTGAAGAGACCAGAGTTCATTTTTCAAAAAAAAAAAAAAACCCTGTTTTATGTGGGACCATAAGTAACCACAGCTTATATCCGTTTTTTTTTGAAACTTTCATTCAAAATGGCTTAAAGAAAACAAAGTCTACGTAGAGGAAACCAGTCCCTAAAAAGGCAAAGTCACTGGACCTATAACCAAAAAAGATACACCCGATTGTGAATTTGGCCTATCATGCTGTTTCATCAGGTTGTCATTGTATGAGTATTTGAGCCTTATATATATTCAAACCCCAAAATAGTAAGAAAGACATATGTATGTGTAGTTCTGCCCATCAGAAAAATTACAACGTGTACACCAATTTTATGAAAGCCTGTTTGAAATGATGACCTACTTTATTGGGGTGGAGTTGTTAGCTCCGGATGCACATATCACCCAGAATGGGAGGAAAAAGTAGCCTAGTTTGGAGGTAAGCAATGGGTTTAGGCAGAGAACTCAAGTACCAAAAGCCAATAAGTTCCAAATGCCATCCAACATGTAGCTGACAACTGGTGACGGCTTACATCAAGTCTTGCAACACTCAATCTTGTTCAGTAATGATTTGATACTGCACCTGAAATATCTTTTGTTACGTAATTATGTTTTGCTCACTGTGATAATTTCGGTGCTTTGAAAGCATAAATTTCTGTCAACACCTTTTTGTCTAGTGAATAGAAAGTAGAAGCCTCTTCAGGAGTGAGCAGTTTATAAGATGTGTTTGATCAGAAGGATTTTTATTTTCCATTCTGCATTGGCGAGCGCACGACACAGCTGCCCCATAGTTTTGACTATCATAACATAAAGTTGATTCCCAAAAAGGACTTTGTGAAGTTAAGAGTTGAACGCGGCATGCAGTCTTTCAAAAATATTGGCGCTTAAAAGGTTACCGACCTTTACAGACCCATGGCGAATTACAAGTATTCATGGGGGAGGAGGCCCACCTAAAGCTCTCGCGGGTTTAGGGCCTGACTCCGTAAAGCCCTGCCAAGCTGGGCCTTGACCCTCCAGGGCCGGTCGGCGGTGACTGTGGCAAGTCCGACCCGATCGGGCCACTATTCCGTAGCCCCGCCAGACTCTTTGAGATTGTTTTCTTCCACATCCCTTTTGTCAGATAATAGCCTTCGCTCCGCCAACGGCATGGACATCGAAAAAGAGACGTCCTCGATCGACCTCGACTCACTCACTCCCCAAGTTGAAGAAGAAGATTGTGACGAGGTGTGTGTAGCTCTGCCATTTCACCTCCCAAAGCCTCCTTGTGAAGTACGGGCGAGACATACCTCGTCAACTTCGCTGCAAGCTCATGCTCCTTTGATATGTATATTGCTCGACGGGATCGAATAGGATCTTGACTTATCTCAGATCGAAGCTCGCACTTGGTTAGTCAAGGTACCTAAGTTTTTGTCTGAGCGATGGCAGCAACATGCACAACTCAGCGGAAACGGTGTCGAGTTGGCGCGGATGCGAGTGCATGACCAGTTTAGTTCTCAATCGTGTCCCTTTGTGTACTGAGCATCCTCCAATGATTGACTGTCAACTTGCAAAAAACCTCCAGAGACGCGATGGGCAACAGGAAGATTGAGATCATGCTTCCAGATGTTCCAGACCTACCAGCCGTACCCACCAACTATACACTTGACGTGAGGAATAAGAGTAGCTCGAACCTTTTCGTCTTCGATGAACTTGCAAAACCAGAGATTGTGGGAACCACCACTGTCAAGACTGAGCCGATTGCCTCAGGATCATCCAATGCTCGCTTTGAAAAGCCCCGCCGGCCACGCCCCAAAGTAGCCCGTTGGTTTTCTTTGATCTCTCACCGCTCCTTGCGCTCTTCTCTGATCATGACTGAGGATTTTGTTCTGCCATCAAATTATTCTCTGTAGGTCGGCCACGAGTGACTGGGACAATCGCCCATGAATGCCTGGTTTCACCGGTCATCAACGATTCATATCGTGCCGTGATGCGTGCTCGACAGCAGAAGGCATCTCAGCCGAAACGAACAATCAAACGGGTCAACGAAGACGCCGGAACGTTGAATCGGATGGCCAGTGGGATCTCGACCCAAGTTCAGGCGAACAAGTTCGCTGCCTTCACCGTCAGTCTATTCAATTCACTCTCACTTTTCAAAAGTATGAACTGATTCAACCGCTCTACATACGCATCTACGGCGGCATGTCTTATAGAGGACCGCAACAACGTCTAAGACGACTGAAAAATTCACGCGGATGCCACGTGCTCAGCTTGTCGATGCTCTTTTTACAGGCTTTCTCCGGTATGAATATTGGTCCATGAAGTCACTAAGGTGAATCCTATCTCCCGTCTGCCTTTTGCAAAAGTTCGCGAACCGTAGGAACGAAATAGCTCACTCATCGTAAATATATATAGAGATCACACCAAACAACCTGAAGCGTATTTGCGGGAAATTCTATCAGAAATTGCGACACTCTTAAAGGCTGGTCCATATGTCGGACACTGGGTCCTAAAGCCCGAATTTGCTGAACTCAATCGCTCAAAGGCTGCGGCTCGACAGGCGGAGGTCGAGGCAGCTGAGGCGGAGAGGAAGTCAAGTCCTGACAAAATGGATGAAGACATACCGGATGATGATGACGACGATGACGAAGATGACGACGACGATGATATGGAGGAAGTTATCTGATTGACTGTTCCATTTTGTTTGTGTGCCAAACTTGTGCGCACTCTTACGTTGTACTACTAGTTTCCTGGGCCCGTTCGTGGTCAGTGGGTATATTGAGCTGTTGAGGCTGTCATTCTCAGTAGCCTTGTCAGCCTCCAAAAATGTACAAGGAACATGTAAATAAGATTTTGGGTGTGGGTCTTTGCAATCTGTTGCAGCCTTGATTGTCGTGTGATGGGTTGAAAAAGAAGAGAAAGCATATTTGCTTTGATGAGCCGGTTCCACAGTGTATACTTCTCAGGGTATGAACTCTAGCGTGTGTAAGAATAATGAGATATAAAAAATCTATCTTAAAGTTTATACCTAGCATCATGACTCAACATGACAATAAGCTTGAAGATTCAAGTTTGATTGGATGTCAGCATTTCGGAATTGCATCATTCTCATAGCATAGCTCAAAATTTGTACTTTACAATCTTATGCTTTCATCCAGGTGTTTCAAACCTGAGGAGAGGAGTGCATTGTAATAATTGATAAAGGAATTATGGCTAAAAAAGCTTCAAGAAGCTTCACTTCATGTAGACCTTTTTCTTTTCTTTTCTTTTTTTTTTTTCAGACCATCTTTGAGCAAATTCACAGCAATACAAACGTTTGCACAGGAAAATGTGTTGCTCAGCTTATAACTAACTCCATTCTGCGTTATATGGAGTTACGATAAAAATATATTGAAGCTTGCGATATGAGACCCAAGTTGTAAAACTTGTAGAAAGGTCTTCCTCTTTAGCTACTGCCAAACTACAATCAGGTTGAACCTCTTTCTTGATTGAGGTCAAAGTAAGTAAAAAGGTTTGGAAAAGTTTCATATTCATTTTAATCTTTGTTTGCCTTTTTTTTTGGGAGCGAAAATAGTTCAAACCTATTGCAAAACCCCGAAACGTTCTCAAGTTAATAACCAACAATCAAACCTCAGTTAACTTGAATGTCTTGATGGTGTTGCGCGTTTTAACTTAGTGTACAAGTGTGACGGGCTACTTGGTAGTATGATGTGTGCGGGGAGCATCACTACTGAGCGCCTGCACATGACTGGAATCCCACAGCTAGGCCTTGCAAAATTTCTTAGCGCGCCGAAAGGAAACCAAACTCTGAGTAACAGTTTGGGCAACGCGGACACGGGCTTCTAGGTTGTACATACTGTGCTGTTTGACAATGAGTATTTAGATTTTTGGTCAAATTTAAGGGTGTGATTAATTAGCATCAGCTAAGGTCAACTGTTAAAATTGTTAACCAAACCATGTGTTATGGTTTGAATTTTTTGTTGAGATTTTGGGTGTTTGACTTATTATCAAGCTACATTAACTATACATAAAGCTAAAAAAAAAAAAAAAAAACTAAAGTCTCAGTAATAAACAAAAGTTAGGTAGGACAAGTAATATAAAAAAAGGGAATTTTTTATTCTCAAATTTTTTTGTTTTTTTTAAAAAAAAAAAAGAAAGAAAGAAAAACTTCAAAAAAAACTTCTTCACAATCTGCGCATCCTATAGACATAATGTCTTGTGATAGCTTAATTTTTTTTTTTTTT